GTCCGGAAAGCCCTTACCCTAATCCTACCTTAAGGCTGCACTTAAAACTTCAAACACTTATAAATCCAAAACCAAACAAGATAAATGCAAACGGTTTGCAGGGAAATATTACTGGGGCTATTACCTTTTAAATGACACCAAATTCGACCTTCTGGTTTGTCCGGAAAGAGCTAAACTCTAATCGCACCTTAAGGCTGCCCTTAAAACTTCAAACACTTATAAATCTAAAACAAAACAAGATAAATGCAAACGGTTCGCGGGAAATTATTACTAGGGCTATTACCTTTCGAATAACACCAAATTCGACCTTCTGGTACGTCCGGAAAGCCCTAACCCTAATCGCACCTTAAGGCTGCCCTTAAAACTTCAAACACTTATAAATCAAAAACCAAACAAGATAAATGAAAACGGTTTGCGGGAAATTATTACTGGCGCTATTACCTTTCAAATGACACCAAATTTGACCTTCTGGTACGTCCAGAAAGCCCTAACCCTAATCGTACCTTAAGGCTGCCCTTAAAACTTCAAACACTTATAAATCCAAAACCAAACAAGATAAATGGAAACGGTTAGCGGGAAATTATTACTGGGGTTATAACCTTTTAAACGACACCAAATTTGACCTTCTGATACGTCCGGAAAGCCCTAACCCTAACCCTACTTAAGCCTGCCCTTAAAACTTCAAACACTTATAAATCCAAGACCAAACAAGATAAATGCAAACGGTTTGCAGGAAATTATTTCTGGGGCAATTACTTTTCGAATGAAACCAAATTTGACCTTCTGGTACGTCCGGAAAGCCCTAACCCTAATCCTACCTTAAGGCTGCCCTTAAAACTTCAAACACTTATAAATCCAAAACCAAACAAGATAAATGCAAACGGTTTGCAGGAAAATATTACTGGGGCAATTACTTTTCGAATGAAACCAAATTTGACCTTCGGGTACGTCCGGAAAGCCCTTACCCTAACCCTACCTTAAGGCTGCCCTTAAAACTTCAAACACATATAAATCCAAAACCAAACAAGATAAATGCAAACGGTTTGCGGACCTTTAATACCGGGACAATTACCTTTTAAATGACACCAAATTTGACCTTCTGATACGTCCGGAAAGCCCTAACCCTAACCCTACTTAAGCCTGCCCTTAAAACTTCAAACACTTATAAATCCAAAACCAAACAAGATAAATGCAAACGGTTTGCAGGAAATTATTTCTGGGGCAATTACTTTTTGAATGACACCAAATTTGACCTTCTGGTACGTCCGGAAAGCCCTAACCCTAATCCTACCTTAAGGCTGCCCTTAAAACTTCAAACACCTATAAATCCAAAACCAAACAAGATAAATGCAAACGGTTTGCAGGAAATTATTTCTGGGGCAATTACTTTTCGAATGAAACCAAATTTGACCTTCTGGTACGTCCGGAAAGCCCTAACCCTAATCCTACCTTAAGGCTGCCCTTAAAACTTCAAACACTTATAAATCCAAAACCAAACAAGATAAATGCAAACGGTTTGCAGGAAATTATTTCTGGGGCAATTACTTTTCGAATGACACCAAATTTGACCTTCTGGTACGTCCGGAAAGCCCTAACCCTAATCCTACCTTAAGGCTGCCCTTAAAACTTCAAACACTTATAAATCCAAAACCAAACAAGATAAATGCAAACGGTTTGCAGGAAATTATTTCTGGGGCAATTACTTTTCGAATGAAACCAAATTTGACCTTCGGGTACGTCCGGAAAGCCCTTACCCTAACCCTACCTTAAGGCTGCCCTTAAAACTTCAAACACATATAAATCCAAAACCAAACAAGATAAATGCAAACGGTTTGCGGACCTTTAATACCGGGACAATTACCTTTTTAAAATGACACCAAAATTTGACCTTCTGATACGTCCGGAAAGCCCTAACCCTAACCCTACTTAAGCCTGCCCTTAAAACTTCAAACACTTATAAATCCAAAACCAAACAAGATAAATGCAAACGGTTTGCAGGAAATTATTTCTGGGGCAATTACTTTTTGAATGACACCAAATTCGACCTTCTGGTACGTCCGGAAAGCCCTAACCCTAATCCTACCTTAAGGCTGCCCTTAAAACTTCAAACACCTATAAATCGAAAACAAAACAAGATAAATGAAAACGGTTTGCGGGAAAGTATTACTGGCGCTATTACCTTTCAAATGACACCAAATTTGACCTTCTGGTACGTCCAGAAAGCCCTAACCCTAATCGTACTTAAGGCTGCCCTTAAAACTTCAAACACTTATAAATCCAACACCAAACAAGATAAATGGAAACGGTTTGCGGGAAATTATTTCTGGGGTTATTACTTTTTGAATGACACCAAATTTGACTTTCTGGTACGTCCGGAAAGCCCTAACCCTAATCCTACCTTAAGGCTGCCCTTAAAACTTCAAACACCTATAAATCGAAAACAAAACAAGATACACGGTGGTAAAATCTGGGCTGAAAAGTTCCCACATGTCATAGAACCCGAACTGTGTTCGATCGTGTTCGATCTGGGGAATTCGAATCGAACCCGCGTTCTATTTCGGGGTCACCTACGGTCATTTACTATTTAGCGGCCAAACAAGCCTTTCTACCTCCGTGCATTGCAACAGATAAAAAACAACACTTTTCTATAGATACAAACAGTTTCCTGGACAGTACATGCCCGCTATCATTTTGTGTGGACATGTAACATGTAGCAAAGCTACTGTCGTATCCTTGAGTGACCTTGAATACTGTAATGATTCTTTACGCCAGTATGAATAACACAATGCACACTTTCTGGCGATATGACATGTCTCCAAAACTCGTTCAAACCTGGAAACATGGAGAGTCAAACATACCCCATTTACGGCTCAAAATGACTGTCACGGTTGTCCCGAAAATCGTATTTTAGGGATTTTTGAAAAATGGCCTCAATTTTGAATTATGGGTAATTTAGTGAGAAAAATGTCAAAAAATGCCATTTTTTCACCAATATGTCGACAAAAACTAGACTTAAAATCAGAAATTGAAAAATCCCTAAAACACGATTTTTTGTCTTATTCCTAGTCTGCGAAAAATATAAAAATCGGGGATCTGGGGTAATATACGTAGCCAGGTTTGAACGATGTTTGACCTAAAAACGTGACATGACTTGTGCTCGGAAACCCGAAAATAATCGTCTTTCTGAGCGTAAATTTTAAAAATCATTGATTTAACATAAAAAGCTAACATTTAAAGGATGTTAAGACGATAATTTCATTTAATTTGACGAAATTTACCCCTAAATATTATTTGTGTATTTTCAAATATTTTACGGGTAGTCCAAAACAGGCCAAAATAGCGTGTTGTAACCCGATACCTTTTAGAACGCGCATAGCAATGGGAAAGTATGCCGTAGTGACAGACCGCCGTGATAAATGAAAACGGTTTGCGGGAAAGTATTACTGGCGCTATTACCTTTCAAATGACACCAAATTTGACCTTCTGGTACGTCCAGAAAGCCCTAACCCTAATCGTACCTTAACCCTACCTAGACCGGGCGTTTTTTGACATGGGGGGACCGGGGGGGGCTCTTTTGACCCCCCCCTAAGAACTCGCGAACGGTATGTCGTATGACCACCACATTTTCAGAGAATGGTGTACTAGTGAAAATTTATCATATCTACAATTTTTATGTCGTTATGACGTAATATGACGTCATTATGACGTCATTAATGTGATTTTATTGGCCAAAACCGTCTAAATAGGTTTTTCCCTGAAAACCTCCCTGGTATACAACATAACTTTACCAAAAGTGTTTATGACAGAATATTAGTGTGTACAAGGTCTTATGTTGCCCATAGCAACACCGGTGACGTCATAAAATGACGTCATGCATATTTAAGATATCCGCCATCTTGGATCATCAATCTTGAATTTTCAAAAATAGTTTTTTTTCATGATAAAGCCTAAAATACATTGTAAACATACTAAACACCTTCATTCAAACCTTTTTTGTAAAAAGAATTGGAAGTATTGATGAAATTTTAATGAAAATAACCCGTATATACCTGTTCTAATGATATGGTCCGCCATCTTGGATTTTGGCCAATGACGTCATCAAATTAGCATAAATTATGCATATTTAATGATAAAATTTACATTAAATTATATGGGATGTTATTAATATTAGAAACCATGAGTAACTTGACATAAAACCCATAAAATTCTATTGTTGAAACAAAAAGTACTAAATTTAGCAAAAAATGCCTGTCAGAAACCCGTTGCCATGGCAACACAAAAAATTATTATCTTATTCCAATGATAGAGAATTGTTGCAAACAATATTTTAGGAAAAGTCACCAAGTTTAATCGTTCTACGGCTAGCCGTTCAGACGCTAGGTGACATCAAAGTTGCCGCGGGCACTTTTAGCCCCCCCCCCGGTCTAGGTAGGGTTAAGGCTGCCCTTAAAACTTCAAACACTTATAAATCCAAAACCAAACAAGATAAATGCAAACGGTTTGCAGGAAAATATTACTGGGGCTATTGTCTTTCAAACGACACCAAAGTTGACCTTCGGGTACGTCCGGAAAGCCCTTACCCTAACCCTAAGATAAGGCTGCCCTTAAAACTTCAAACACTTATAAATCAAAAACCAAACAAGATAAATGCAAACGGTTTGCGGACCTTTAATACCGGGACAATTACCTTTCAAATGACACCAAATTTGACCTTTTGGAACGTCCGGAAAGCCCTAACCCTAATCCTACCTTAAGCCTGCCCTTAAAACTTCAAACAATTATAAATCCAAAACCAAACAAGATAAATGGAAACGGTTAGCGGGAAATTATTACTGGTGTTATAACCTTTTAAACGACACCAAATTGGACTTTCTGGTACGTCCGCAAAGCCCTAACCCTAATCCTACCTTAAGGCTGCCCTTAAAACTTCAAACACTTATAAATCCAAAACCAAACAAGATAAATGCAAACGGTTTGCAGGGAATTATTACTCACGCCTGTTTCGAGTGGAACATTTAGTTCGAACGCGCCGCTCCGCGCCTAACCTCATTTGCATATATGGGAAAATTAACCTGCTCATTTGCATATATGGGAAAATACCGTGCTCCCGCTAGCGCACTGTGACTTTTGGCCTTTGACACCACAAATCATGACGTATAGTCACATGCAACCATTTGCAATGGGAACAACGTTGCTACAGGGTAGCGAACAGAGTCTTGCGAGAATTGGTTGAGTCTTTAGCACCTCTAAGCCGCGAGAATGCAGAAATTACGAAGAAAACTGGCTGGTCTCTCTTCGGATGTGTATTAAAGAGCCTGGTAAGTAACGTTTACTTCTTGATATTTCAGTATGACTACAAGTTTTTCAGGAGCAAACTCTGGTGGTTTTCAAACCACAAATTATGTGTCTCTTAGAGCTGGAAAACTGGCGTTAGCCTGACACTTTCTTATTAGCAATATGGGGCGTCAAATGTTTAGATGCATGTTACACCATATTTACACGTTCGACTCATTAGCATCGGCAGTGTGTTCACACGTGTTACATAACTGTTGTTTGGGTTGCATGTATTTCCATACCTGTTCAAAAACTCCACTGCACTTGTTTCCTCAATTTTCCTCGTTTTGGGCCGACATAAGCATAGGACAGATCGGTTGGTGCATATAAAAGGAAAAAAGCCCCCCTCCCCAAGTAGTATCACTCATGTACTAGTATATAATTTTGTGAATGTTTTCTTAACTTAGACTAGTTAAAGGGAACCCTGTACTGCTGTTGCCAATATTAACGAGGGAGACTTCAGTTTGCAAAACGTGAGTAAATGCCAATTTTACACATGTAAAATTATAATATATATAGTAGTTCTTTACAGTGTGCATCATACAGCAATAGTCAGTACAGTTGAGCAAATCAATTGTCCATGCTTTGTTTTTTACTGCTGCATGAAAAGATCTAACTATAAATTCTACCTGTCAACTGTTTACATTAATTTTGTAACCATACAGTGCTATTGTGTTCACAGAAATGCCACAAGTACATGTATATAATACTTAGTAATGCTAAACATTGTTTCTACTCCGTAATTTGTTAACATCATTTCTAGATAACTACATTTGTACATTTCTCCTTCTTTTCTTTGGTGCAGGCACACCATCCTGTCTCCCTGGATGCACCTGTAGCAGATGGGTTTCCAGTGTGGACTTGAGCCGTCTCACCGCATCCGGGATGGAGCTGGTTGATCGGTTGATCCGATTGAAAACGGCATGGACCTGTTCCACCCCTTGCTCCCCATGAAAACCCAACCCAACCCCCCAACACCTTATCCATGGTATGACATGTTCTTCCAAGAGGTGCATCTTGACGGATACAGACGAGGTAGGGAACAGCTCTCTGTACTTGGCCAGGAAGTGCTTGATACTGCAGTCTGTAACATAAAAAGAATGGTATTGATTGATTATGTATTGATTTACTATGAAAAACATTATGATGTCAATTGCATATCCAAAATAACTTTTAATGTTGATAGTAGATCAAAATGGGTTGATGACTAAGAACCCACCTAGATTGGATATCTCCTCATTAGCCATGCTGTTTGTGTGGGAGTACCCTTTATGGCACTTTGAAAATGCCTTGAAGATTGTCCCATACTTCACCCTGATGTCATTAGACCTTGTAACCAGGTCAAGCGGAAAAGCCTCAAACTGGGTCACAATTTCCTCTGCCGCCTGCTTGGCAGCAGACGTCAAGTCTTCGATGGCTTGTTCCTGCACATAAAACAAGGTCGATGTCTGATATTGGGATTTTCTTATACACAACCAAACTTGTCTCACCTTGCTTACATTTTGATGTGTATCAGACACCTTCCTCAGAGCTTCTGACTGGTGTTCTAGTTCTCGCCTATGTAGCCAATGTAGGTGGCGCTTTTGCAGCGAGAACGGTTTGTACCCCCCCTCGTCACGGCTCATCAGAGAAGACAAGAATTACGTTGGATCAAAGAAGTGGTCTGGATAAGGAAGTCAACCCCAGTGATGAACCTGGACGAGGGGATGGGGGTACATCTATAGCCATGTTTTGGGACCGTGTTCTCGCCGAAAAAGCTGAAGGTGTCTGATATACATTGAAACGTAAGCAAGATGAGAGTAGTTGGTTGTGTATGGCCTCCTTCGCAGACTTGTGGAGCGGCAGCATTTACGGCCCAGCCCGGAATACTGTACTGTGTATGATGCAGTTTTAATTGCTGATACTGTGGTATACTGTACTGTGTATGATGCAGTTTTAATTGCTGATACTGTGGTATACTGTGCTGTGTATGATGCAGTTTTAATTGCTGATACTGTGGTATACTGTACTGTGTATGATGCAGTTTTAATTGCTGATACTGTGGTATACTGTACTGTGTATGATGCAGTTTTCAATTGCTGATACTGTGGTATACTTAAGGCTAGGAATATTCACATTTCTTGAAATTTTCTATACTATTTTTATAGTATGTTTCATGTCATACCAGACTATAGCTAACATA